CGAGGTCGGTAGGTTTTTACTTAAATGACCGTAACTTTTTTATTATGAAAAATTCACGGTAATGTTATAGAAAATAAAATAATCACAATGCTTTGGAGCATCGAATGAGCTATAAATATTGGAAATCGATATCGTGAAATAAAAAGTTATGAGAGTTCAAAGTGCGCACTTTTCATCTGCTACACGAATTTTGGAAGTTGACGGTCATTTTTCTAAAAACTGTGCATAACAAGGTAGGTAAATTGAATGCTTTAGATTCTGCTATAAATGTACTTTCATTTTACAAAAGGAATTATTGATGTATATCGCTTAGTTGCTGAGAAAATAAATACTTTCGGTGGTCTAGTCGCGCGCGCGAAAATGAGTAAATTTCAACTTTAGCGGCCTATAACTTTTGTCAGGACCACGGGAAAATGTCGTAAAGCGGGATTCTGAAGGTTCAAACATTTCTGAACAAAATGGTGTGGGTCCCAATTCTTTCTACTCCGAAAACATTTTTTGAACGATTTCGCGGCTCTCTCCGCTGCACTATTACTCATCTGAGAAATAATGCTAATTTCTCATCGGGAGGAATGGATTTCCGCATAACCGTATCTTTTTTTTTAGAAAATGGCCACTCTGCAGCATTTCAAAAACGCATCGTGAGAAGGAGCTCTTAGAATCTTACATAATATAAAATACAAATGAAAGTGGTGCACAAATCGAAAAATCAAAGCATGCGGTGCGTCTGGGTCCGCCAGTGACGTCACTATACGCGGCGAAAAAATGCGGTGATCAAGCAATCCTTATGTTGGGTCTAGGACACTTCGCCGAATGCCCACAACGCCGACGCGATTTTTTGAAGGTCCATATCGCCGACTAGGGACACTACGCCGACGGACACTACGCCGACCGTGCCCACATCGTCGACAAGTGTGCAAGGGACACAACGCCGACCATGCCCACTTCGCCGACGGACACTACGCCGATCGTGCCCACATTGCCGAAACGTGTGCAAGGGACACCAAGCCGAACGTGACCACAACGCCGACTGTTCGAAAATCCAGGCCCCTCATACTCTGTCCAGTGTATGAGTTTGCATTTTAAAAAGTTTAAAAAACATGTCCTAAACCTACAAATAACCTAATATCCAAAGCTGCTTTGCTTCACACCCCGTCCAGTTTGATTAAGAATTTTCGTATGAGTCTGTAGTTCGAAAAAAGTTAAAAAAAATATTCTGAACCTACAATAACCTAACGTCAACAGCTACTTGGTGTTGCACACCGTCCAGCTTGATTAAGTAGTGTTGTATGAGTCGACGTTATGGTCACGTTCGGCTTAGTGTCCCTTGTTCACTTGTCGGCGATGTGGGCACGGTCGGCGTTGTGTCCCTTGCACACTTGTCGACGATGTGGGCACGGTCGGCGTAGTGTCCGTCGGCGTAGTGTCCCTAGTCGGCGATATGGACCTTCAAAAAATCGTGTCGGCGTTGTGGGCATTCGGCGAAATGTCCCGGCCTCCTTATGTTATATAGCATCCTTGCATTTTTCTGTACGTATGTTGCGACTGAACTTCTCCTGAACGGCTGGATGCATTCTCATGAAATGTTGGTTACTTATGTGTTTCTGTGTGTCTCTGGATGGTTTAGAATCACAATTGGGTCCGATCGGATTATAGGTTTTTTTTTACTTCTTTTTTCGTTGATGTCGCATCTCGTGTCGCACTGTGCTATTTCGCGTACCGTCCCGATGTATTTACATTTTTACATTCTGTAAGCTAAGTTTTCGTTATCATATATCCCTCTATACCTCGTTCTATACCGAGCATACGAAATCGTGGGGGGAAGTCTAATTCAGAAAATGATGTTGCAGATTTGCTTTGGTCCAATACATATGTCGATATATGACTGGGCTCGTATTATTTGTCGGTTTATAGTCTTTACGAAACTCTTCCCCTTCAATATAATACTGACCAGAAACAGTGCCAGGACTGCGTTCTATATGCAAAATATGCGTTGAATAAAATCCCCAATTCATCAGCTGTTCAACAATGGAGAAAGTGCTTCAAGGGAAAATAACTCTCGACTCGAGTCTCGACTTCTCGATTTCTTCAACTTGTTCTTGGTCGGAGAAACTATCAACATTTTCATTTGATCGATTTGGAAAAATTGAATGAACCGAATTATCCTTTTACTTACCTACGCGAAAAACGTTTTTGTTTTAATGCCCTTGTTTTTAAGGTTATAAACTGCATCATATTTTTTTACAAAACAACTTCAGCGTCTCATTTTTAATTAATTATACATTGCGATCAAAAATGAGTGACCGTCGAGTCACCTTTGGAATTTTTGTTTACATGGGAAATCGTACTTAACTTCAACTTTCAAAGGCGACTCGACAGTCACTCATTTTTGATCGCCCGATATAAAAGTAACACAACTAACTAACACAAAATTACATAAAATCACTATAAAACACCCAAATTAAATCTCGTAACATTTAGTGTGTCAAATTTCTTTTCACAAAACGCACAACTGCCCTGTGATGGCGCTGTAGATGTTGGCTCTTAGACCATATAGTACATGGACTGCTATTAACCCTACGCTATCAATACAAAATGAGTGGTCACGGATAGAGGGCACTGTAGTCGTGGGTATGTGAATCTCAGGGTAAACTAAAGTCGTATGAACACCACTCGGATCGCGTAAAGAGTAGCTTTTATGGTAACCGCGTAGTACGGGAAGCTTTAAATACTCTTGATGATCATCTATATGTCCACAAATAAGAATAGGTTTGCTTTTCTTGCCATATCTGGACAATTAATTGACGTTTGTTAATTTATAGGTTGACAGCCTCAAATCGTGTCTCATCAGACAATTTCGGACAGACTCGTTTACTCTGAAACTCACATACCCAGGCGATGTCCTTGACCATATTTTAGTTACAATTGGCAGTCCATGTAATATATGAGAAGTGTTGGCTTCATAAATTTGACTTTGCTAGCAATCCAGTTATTTTTTCATCCAAGGATCAAATGCGACTCCTGTCATAATCTAACAGATTGACATTAATTGATAACAGTTTAAGAACTGTAAAAACAGCCCCAGTTTGTCGCGTGTAATGTCGGTTGCATGCAGCCATCTATTCCATGCCGTGATATTAGTATCATGATTCCAATGCATTTGATCAGTTCTTTAGCGCATTTTTTAACAATTAAAAAAATGTGCTATTGTTTGCGTTTTGTCTGTCCGTCCGTCCGGACCCACTTCTGCCGTTTTGAACTACTTCTAGGGGAATGGTCCTAGAGTCCTCGATTTTTTTACAGTAGGTAGCCTATACCTTGAAGGTGTGCCAGACGGTAATCAAATTTCGCTGTCTAAAAGCCCCCCCCCCCCCGAATTATTTCCCGAGATGCTGTTTTTGAAAGTAAAACGTGCATAACTTTTACATACGACAACCAATTGGTCTCAGATTTTGCATACGCATGCGTTTAGTGGTGCCAAGTTAAACTTTAGAAAATGTGGTGTAAACACATGTTGATATCAGTATACCAGTAATTAGAAAATTACCTACTGGAAAATCCATTTAAAAGGTCAGAAAGCGCAAGGTAGTACATATAAAGTCTAGGAATTAATTATGGCGTAAACAAACAGATGGAAAAATATGAGAACATTCTACAACTAGAGAAGCGAGCATCTAACGAAAGCGCTAGAAAATACCTGCTATTTGAGACCATGACTGGGATGACATGTATAAAGCTATAAACATTTTGTGCATCATGTCATAAAATATGCTGGACCGAGTGCTGGACATTTGCAAACAGAAACCACCGCAATAATGAAACCTTTATGTAATTAAGATCAAACTGCATCAAATTACAGAATTAATAATGCACTTTATTAAATGCAAACGTTGAAATTGAGACCATTCCCATCCCACTACAATTCAGTAATGTATAGCAAATTAGTTACGGTTAGGTGTTTTGGGTACAAAAAATAGAGACTGGATATCTCATTGTTATGTGACAAAGAGGTATTTGCAAATACTAAAGTATTACTGGTTATTGTTAAATTTAATTTAACGCATTATTGCACATTATTGTACAACACCCAAGAGGGGATTAGATGCATTTTATATCGGCTAGTTAAAATATTCATGAAATCGACTTATAACCACTGGTCAACGAACACAAAAAAAACTGTTTTACAAACAGACTTATAATTCTTAATCCTTATTACTCTATTGATGGGACCGGTGGTGCACCCTTTATTTCGTGTAGAATTGCTGGTGCAAACAAAATGATTGGTTACGAATCATTTGTTGCTGGAGCTTCTATTTTCGCCACTGTCTCTATAAAAGTCACTGTATATCTAAAGCGGCCACTGACGGTTAGGAATAATGCAAGAATCAGTTTGAAATCTCTAGTATATGGAGTTTTATAGCACACCAAATTATAGAGTTTACATACAGGCATGTAGTGTCGAAATGTTCTTATTGTTACAGCAATACGATCTTCTATACCTACATAGGTAATTATCGAGACAACTACCATTCTCATTAATTTTATAGAAAACCCCGCTTCTCCGTTTTGGAATGCATGGTTCGCCTCTTATCGGTTATTTTAGGGAACAAACAACAACTTTTAATTTATTTAATTATTTGGCCATCCGGTTCTGACCTTGAAAATGTCATGCTCTACTTTCAGTCCCGTACAAGAAATTCCCGAAGAAAATGAATGCAAACCAATAAATAAATCAAAACGAAAAAAAAATTATTTAAATTCTTTTAGTATACAGACAGTCACTTCAATCATCGCAGCCGCCCACTGCAAAACTGGCCGCCTGTGAGGTGTAAAGAAATTATGCTATTATATTTTCATCTCTATCTAGCCCATGCGAAGAAAAATACATATAACAAGCTTTGTTTGCAGTGGGCGTCTACCTGCGACTGTTTTTATACTAGACGACATATAGGTATTCTCGAGGGTATTCTAAAGGTTTACTGCCTAAATTAAACACTCACTTGATTTTGAACTGTTGTAGTAAGCAGATGCCTCTGGAGAATCAAGGGATCATGCTCCTTTAGTATAGCAGCTATTTTTCTGGAATCGGGCGCTTTCACCTTAGGAGTGCAATTACCTAACAAATTTTCGAGCGAACTAGAACTAACTTTTTTCCGAGTTCGATGACTAGCACTAGGTATAAGATCTGATTCGTTAAATTTACAAGTTTTTTCAGCACTAGGGGAACTAGAACCACTCTTATTTGTTACAAATTGTAAGTGTAAATCATGGATACGAGTATTCACTTCGCCACTTTGAGACATCACAGCCCTTAATTGCTCTTCTAGATCCTGTTTCGCCGAGATAAGGTTTTCTAAATCATCTTGTAGCCTTGACGTCTGCACGCGACCAGCAAGAAGTTCCGCTTCCATCTCAGCTACGCGATCCATAAGTAAGTCACGCTCCCGCCTCAAATGACGCACGTCGTCGACGGATGCATGTAAGAGAACCCTTTGGAAGTCACCACTGCTTTCAGTTTGATTTCCTTTATTCTCTCGCATTGTGTCTTGGAGTGCCTCCAATTCGTCTTTTAATCTCGTGCCTTTCCTATGAATTACGTCTAAAAGGTTCCACAGTTCGTCTTCCGTTTCATCCGGTTCAGTATTACTAGCAGAGGCGGAGGGAGGAGGTGCCGTAGACGATGCGCTATGCGTTTCTTTACTTGAAGCTTCCGTACTAAAGCCGGAATCCTGCACGCCCGATGTTTCCCCAGTCTTCTTTCCATTACTGCTTCCTCGAGATTCTTCTTTACTAAGTAATTTGCGACGCACTCGAACTCCTGGCTCCCACTCCCGCCTAACAGCTATAGGTATATTGGAAACATGCGATGTCATTGTAGTTGGAGTAGAATTGGCCAATTTCGTGCGTAAGTTTGGAAACGTTTCGATGACAATGTCACGAAACTCGAGTAACGCACCGACTTCATGTTGTAATTCTTGGAGTGCCACCAGAGACTTAGCCTGCTCGCTAATGAGGTAGTGGAATGGTCCGACGGACTGGCGAAGCTGCAGGCAGTCCATGCCCGAGCCAGACTCGCCGCCCTAAAACAACAAAACATAGTTTAATAAGGCAATCAGGTAATAATAATTAAAAACTAACACGATTATGCAAGAAGGCCTTGCAAGTCGAAAATATGATAAATTAGAAAATGTTCTAGCACGCCTAAGGTGGGTAAGTGAAATGTTTATGACGGAAGATGTTTAAAAATCTATAGTTAATATCTTCACTAGGAAGAAACAGCACCCACTACAACACCTACAATTATTGCAACCATATATAGAAGAATTAATATTCCGCCTATATGTAATCAGAAGTTACATATAAGGAGAACATGCAAAAGTTAACTTATGTAGGTATATCCCAGGCACCCACAAAAAAGCAATTTTTATAATTAAATTTAAACACGAGTTCGACTTCGATAGCAATTTTTTCAATTATTTGCGATACGTAAGGATTCTGTCAATAACAAATGGGAAAGTTCAAGCGTGTCAAATTTTAATTTGCTGTAACTTTGAAATTGTTAAATAGAATCGAAATAGGAAATACTGAAAGGATATTGATATTGCTGGAACTTTTACTATTTACCTAACAGACTCTGAATAAGATATCAGTGAAGTGCACGATTACCCAATATTTATTTTTTTAAATGGCAACAATTTACCCAATTATTAAATCTCCCCCCTTCGCTTATGACACACCTTTCGAGTATTACTTCAAATCACCGGCGCTTCTATTAATACTATACCTACAATGTTTAACAGACTATTCTAAATATAAAATAAACCTAAATCTGAAACACTTAAATTAGTGTGATCAAATTTATATCAATTAATTTTTATTTTATTGATGTTACATTTGTAGTTTTTTTGCGTTTATGTTTCTTTCATTTAAGTTTTTCATTCGGTTATTTAAATCTATGGCAATTGATGTGGTTTATAATTCCGGTTATTAAACAAACTCCAAGATCTCATCTTGCAAGTAGTAAAGGATTACATTTTTTTATTTTCTTTTTTATTTTATTTTGTTTCTTATAATTGGAAGTTTATAACTTTATAACTTATAATGAAGCATTGAAAATAAATAATCAATTACAGAGATATTAGAAACAGCATCGAGATCAAAACTGCAGAAGCAGAAATAGACACAAATAAATTTTGGTTTAAATTGTTTTTTAGTGACTTCTTTATCGCAGCAGTATGACAATTGTCGCCAATGAAGTCATTATACAGGGAGTGAATTGTTGACTTGTGGGAAAAAAAATCGTCCTCCCCGGAACTAATTCAATATCATTCGGACATGAGTAGGGTCGGTCAACAACTTCGAAAAGAGGAGCAGGAGTACGAAAACGGATACGTGAGCTGCATGTACCCTAGTGTGGTGTCACACTATGCGTTTTTACCGCTCCCGCTAAAACGGATGCGGTTTGACAGGATGAGATCTACTTGTCATGTCACACTATTCCGGCCTAACGGGATGCGTTTTTGCTATATTTTGGCAGTCTTAAGTAGTGTCATGTCTCAATTATTGTTAAAGATGGTTTGTACGCTTGATGGCCGTTTGCACCGACAAATTTAAGCTGGATTTTGCTTAAGCATAGCTTAATATCCATGGTAACCATTGTCTCAACAATCGTTGCCATGGATTTTAAGCTATGCTTAAGCTAAGCTCTGCTTAAATTTGTCGGTGCAAACGGCCATGAGGCGGAGGGGTTATTGAGAGAGCAGATATATCGTTAATATTGGATTGATCCTTTTAATTCAGGACGAGAATCTCATAATAGGTTTGCGAAGTTTTATGAGAAAATTCGAATGCACAAGAACAAATTTGTTGTATATTACCGAATGTCCAAAAATTCAATTTCTACCCATGATTTCTCCCTACAGTTTTTATCTACATACTCTTTAGATTGTTTTTCCCACAGTGCAGTTTTTGCATGCACGCACTCGATGAATAAACCGACATCAAACATTGTAAACCTAACAAAACACCCGGTTGCAACGCTCAGTGTGACAACTGATGACAACCAACGTGCAACAACACGTGGTTTCATGTCATTGTGGTTGTCATGTCATCCTGCGCAGCGGCAGCAGGATGCGGTTGCATCCGGTTGGTGCGGCGAAAACGCATATATGTGACTGGTACCATTTAATAACGTGTGATATTACCATCCCGTCAAACAGGAGCGTTTTAGCGGGAGCGGTAAAAACGCATAGTGTGACACCACACTTACATTCAAACAAGCTTCTAAAACCGATATCTGTGGCGATTCTCTAGTACCATATCAATCGCCGATCAATGGGAAGTTCGTCCTGTAAACCTTCAAAAATTTTTCCGTTGGGTCTGAAGTTCTAACGTACCTACAGTTTGCATTTTGTCCGTCTATATCCGTCCGCTCGTCCGTCCGTAATAAATCGGAGAATTCATCTCTTCTTCTTGCGCAGGTATACCATCCTGTTGAAAACAACTTTTGTTTTTTTTGTTTGTCGTAGTCGTAATAAAAAATGCTACTCAATACAGTGTACCTACATTTTTACGTGACATATAAAAAATAAAGTTGATGATTTCTCCGAAACTAAACGTTGTGTTGAAAATCTCTCAACGGTGTCTTGTAGAGCTCAAAAAGTGGCAATAAAGAGGTGTTTTTAATTTTTTTGTATCTGTTCAAATAACATCAGAAAAAAAACGAAATCCGCAAATTTCGGTACGTAAGGTCCCCGAAAATTTTTCACAAATTACCACAGTTTTCATCAACAATTACTCTACAATCTTCGAATAATTGCTATTATCGCTTGGAAATTTCGAAAAAATTATCGTAGGTAACTGCACAAGTGCATCAAAATTACCGATAATTTTTTTGAAAGCATGTTGTCTAAAAACTGCATGAGTTTATTTTCATATTTTGGCGAAAAAGCCCGACACCGAAGGTGGAGGGCTCTTTTAACAAAATATGAAAATGACCGAATGCGGTTTTTTACTGACAACATGCTTGAATAAAAAATTATCAGGTTTATTTTGATGCACGAGTGTAATTTAGGGGAATATTTCCCGAACAAGCATTACTTGTCAAACTGACGTTACCTACTTATAAATTGTCGGTGTATTGTGAAATTGTCCAAAGGAGGTGCCAGTTGCCATGGATATGGACAGTGCAATTATCGCAGGGCTCTTTCGCTTTCTACAGTGCAATTATCGCTGTAATTGAGATTGAGCGATAATTGCACACCTCATATGGCATTTATGACATATGAGGGAAATATTCACTGTAATTGCCGTATAGTCTTGTGTACCAAAATCGCCGAGTGGTTTACCCCTGGGTTGTAAAGGGTAATTTTGGACATTTCCATACTGCAGAACATTGGTAATTTTTTCCATAAATAAACTACATTGGAACTAATAAATGGCGGGGAACCTAAAGCACGGATGTGCCGATTTCAAATTCGTCAAACCATCTTTCGAGATTCACGTAATCAAATAAAGGCGTTGCACGATCCAATTTTCCAAATTACTGCTAACTTTCGTTGGGAGAATATGTCAACGCATCGATAAATTAAGTTGTTTGAATTTTTTGCATTGTGTAAAAATAGAAGTTGACCGGTTTCGGTAATTTTGTATAAGAAATTTGTAGAAGACGTAGTAGAAGACACCGAAGAATCCTAAGAATCATAACCGATTGAATAAAGGACCTACTTAATGAAATCCTAAAATGAGAAAAAAACTAAAAAATCGGAAGAAAGTAAAACACGAACAAAAGAATCCGATGAACCTGAAGAATCCGAAGAATTTGATAACCAGAAAGTATTCCAAGAAGAGTACGAAAAATTAAAGAGTCTGAAAACTGAAGTATTTCACAAATTTGATAAATTTTAAGACACTAGAAACTGAAAAAAATTCGAAAAATCCGGGCAGCACTTAGGCACACCAGAGGCCCATTGTGCCTACTCCCTTTCTTCGCAACTGAGTTCGGAGCCCGTTCCTCTCAATGAAGGATAGGACCCTGTTTAGCTAAGTTGCTTCACCCTCCCCGGTTCCAGATATCTGTCTCCAAGGAGTTGATATCTGTCACTGATCACGTCACAGTGACAAACCACACGATCGGCAGTTTCATATGCCTCGCCACAGAACCTGCACGTGGACTCCTCCGCGAGCCCAATGTTATGCAGGTGATAGTTGACCATCCCGGAAACCGGTGATCTTCCTAATCTGGCTTCTATTCAGTTTTAGAAGATTAGAAGACTTACAGTTGTTAAAAAAACTTTGTTTAACACATTAGTTAGCTTAGCAGATTGCTGGCCGCATGAGAATCAATTGGTTGCTGCCATAATAGTATTTTACATTATTAGCCAGGTAAGTGAGTTTTTACTGGCGAGCCGTCAGGCGAGCCTGTCATCTCCTAGAGCCAGTAAAAACTATTACCTGGCGTATAATGTACAATATTTTATTTGTTACTCATTTGTAAACAGTAGTAAACGTAAATAATTAGTTCTTAAATTGATCTCGAAGAAATGTCTAAAATATCATGTTATCCATGTAACAGAGACTTCGCATTAATTCTGGCCAATGAAATGACTACACCTTTTCCACTTTTATTCGAGAAGTTGTAAATTGTATTTGAGAATTGTTACTTGTATTTGAGAAAACATCAAAGTAGATGAGAATAGTCAGTTGGATTTGAGAAAACATCAAATGTATTTGACAATAGTCAATTGTATTTGAGAAATTATCATTTAATTTTATTGTATTTCAGAATGTAATATTATTCCTAATGAATTATAATTAAGAATCAAATTTTTATAATTCCGCTGTAATTACGTAGTGATTTCATTTAATCTGAGTGCATAGACAAAAGAAAAACGATCAAATCTTCTAAAACGTATGGGCACTTTAGTGACTATGATCATGACACGACCTAACTGGTGGTTTCTGGCATTTGCAGGATTCGATAAATCACAAGCAAAAGGAGTTCGAGAAATGAGCATAAGCTCCCCATGATGAGAAGGAAGAATGTAAAAAGACACAAGTACCCAACTTGCATAACCCATAT